GCCACATCGCTGTCTCATTCCAGCTCTTGGAGTCCATGTCAGGGCAGAGCAAAGCAGGGTCTGATACATCCCTCACCATCATTCGGATGGTGACTCCAGCCGTTGCTGGCTGGACTTCAGGCGCTCTGCAGTAGCGCTGTGCAGGGGGTCCCAGCCTTTGCACGGAAAGCTGAGCTGGAAGGAATTTTTTTTTCCCCATCTGGCCAGGAGAGGAGAGCACCAAAAACGCCTTTCAACACCCTCGTCATCCTTGCTCTGGAGGGGAGAGTGCAGTATGTGCTGCGGGAAGGATGGGTGACTGACAGCTCGGTGAGAAGCTGTTAAGCCCTGCACTTGGGGGACGTTGGTGGAAGTCACCTCTGGAACAACGGGAAACCAACGGAGTGAGTGCCTGTGTGAATATGTAGGTAGAGATCTGCAGGCTCCTCTGGCCGGAGCCGAAGTGCTTTGCACCGAAACAGCTCGTGGTGGCCGGCTGCTCCCGTGTGCCGGGAGCTCAGCAGCCCTGGGGGCACGGGGAGCATCTCCTTCCCGCACCCCTGGACCGAAGCGCTAGGGGCTGTCAGGGAACTGCCCCAACGTGGGGGACGCGGCAGCGGAGCGGGCTGCCGGGGCTGGATTCCTTGTTCTTGGAAGAAGATGGGTCATTTGGAGGAGGGAGACGCTTCCTTCCCGAAGGCAGCGCGGAGGCTGGTGTGTGGCGTGGGAAGGGAGGAAGGAGGGGAGGAAGAGCACGAGCAGAGCCAGCCACCCTTTGGATTTTGGACTGGACTCCCGTTCACGGGCGGAAGCCGGTTCCCAGTGCCCCGTAACCCCGGGCGCCCTCGGCCACGCATCGTTTTGCTTTCACCTCCTCCCCGCGCTGCTCGGGCTGCCTTCGGCCCCACTCCCCTCCTCCTCCTCCCCAGCACGTGGATGTTTCTAGCACACTGAGCTCCCTCCCGTCTGCCGGGGCTGGGGGAAGCGTGCGGGCAGAGCCCACCCGAGGCTCCGGCCGGCAGGGATGGTGGGGAAGGGTGAAGGGATGTTCCCAGCGGTGGGGAGGGGATCGAGGGGGGTGGGAGCTACCCCGGGTGACCGGGTCCCTCCGGCCACCGTGGCAGCTTCGGCTGGGGATGAGGTGGCACCCCCGGTCGAGCGATGATGAGCCGTGTTTGCAACGGTGCCTGCAGAGCTGGGTTGCAGGGCTGAGGGGTCCGTCTGTCCGTCCGTCCGTCTGCTGGGCTGTGCAAGCAGGGCGGTGTACGGGGCTGTTCGCTGCAATTTCCTCTGGCCTGCCGGAGGTGTCAGTGCTCTCCATCCACGTGATGAAAATTGGGTGTGAAGAGCAATTTATTACCTCCACCCTCCCCACTGGTATCCTGAGGGATTTGCTCCCAGCAGGCTCACGTGGAGCAGCCCAGGAACGGTGGGTACCGGGTGGGCAGGGGCAGAGGGGCTGCTGGAAGGGGATGGGGGGCCACGAGGTGATGCCAGGAGCAGATGCCAAGCGGGGGGATTTCAGGTGGGGGGCTCCCACCCAGCAGCACGCCATGACCCAGAGGGATGCCTGTGCCCAGGGCCGCAAAGGATGGGGATACCCGGGGGGCAAAATCCTGGGGGGCAAACCAGGCGCCGGTCCCGGCTACGCGGGAGCGTATCCGGCAGCCAGTCCAAGCAGGAACGGGCTGGCCAAGAGCTGAGTCATCCCTCCAGCGCCGAGGAGATCCTCCAAGGCCCCTCGGTTGCTGTTAAAAGGCAGTAGCAAGAGCGAGAGGCTGCGAAATGGCTCCGCCGAGAGCTCAGCTTCTTAGGCGGCCTCGGCCTCCGAGGAAGCGGCGATGCTCGTCTCGGAGCATGAATTTTGCAGACATCTGGAGCCTGTGGCTTTTTTTTCAACGGCTCCTTGGCCGTGTTTCTGCTCCACTTCGGAGATAAAGGCGGCGAGGGTGACCCTGCGGAGCGGG